CACTGTTTCGGTATGGTTCGGTATGTGCTATGTTTAGGCAAAAACTAAACTGTCAAATAAAAATAAAGAAAATAAGAATAATCTATCTAACTACAAGCAACAGCACAACTAAATACAATAGAGTAAAGATACAAATAAAATAAACAGTGATTTTTCAGTTTTTTTTTTAGGTAGGTCTAACATTAATTTTTAGGTACAGAAATTGAATAAAGTAATGAAATGTAAAACAGCATTGCATATTTGACTGTATAAATTAAAGACTAATCTTTATTAAAGTTACAAAAGCTATTCAATCAAGAGCAGTGAGTGATTTTGTTGTTGTTAAGAGAATGCACTGATCCAGTGTACTGATACAGTACGTTCAGCCGGCTATGTCTGCTATAGGATACTTGCCAAGACGAGCATTTTGACATAATTTTTGTGTGAATTTGTCCATTTAAACACAATACTTCAGAGAGAACTTAATATTTGCGCGCGTTCTGAGGCGCGGGTTTGCGTTGGTCCTCGCGTCCTCTGGCTCTTAAATGTTTAAACTCGCAAAGCTTAAATGAGTTTAGTTTAAACACAGATATCAACGTGTGCTGTTCAGGTCTCACCTGTGCGCGCCATACGGTTCGATGTTTTTCCGCGAACCATTCCACCCCTGCTACAGACTGAACAGATTGTCAACACATCCCACAGCTGTATGGCCAGATGAGACGCAAACTACGTTTTCTCGACTGGATAACCAGTCTCGCTAGTAAAGTTTTGATGGATGAAGACTGCAATCAAGGTGAAGACGATTGCGGTGGCATATAGGAGTCGTACAGTAAGCACGCGTGAGTCCGTTATATTAATGCGTATATAAGTGATCTTGACGCACTGATCGCGCATTGTATGTATGCACAGACACAGACATTTCGGTACATTCACGTTGTTTCCACACACATTCACGATAATGTTTTGATTTGTCATGTTTATGTTGCTGTGTTTAGTTATACTGAATGGATCCGTGTACTGTAGTAGATATATGCAGTCAGCAGGCGGTTGGTTTAGGATTTTTTTGGCATCTCCATGTGGTCCTGTTCGGTGTCGCAATTTGACTTCTCTAAAATGTAAAAAAGCTCTTTGCTGTTGCACTATACAATTCTGATTTTTTTTTCCCTTTCATATGTGCTTATATGGGCTCCTTATATCATTTGGTTCTTTGGTGTCCTTTTGGAGTTTCTAAGTGTCCTTTTTTGGAAAGACATCTAAATTTATTTAGAAAAAAGCTTGCAGAAAATACAGATTTTTGAGAATCACCCTTCAATCTTTTGGTTTACTTTGCTGGATATAGCAAATGATGGCAAAATAAACATTTGAAACAATATAAATGGTCTATGCTTAATTTCATGAAGTGTGCGATTAATCGCGATTAATCACAGAAAAAGGCTGTGATTAAAAATTTTTAATCTGTTGACAGCCCTAATATATATATATATATATCATTATATCACAGAAATTATTAAATTTTTTAACATATATTTAAATGGAAAATAGTTATTTTAAATTGTAATGATATACAATATTCACAATATTACTGTTTTTACATTTTTAATGAGCCTTAATGGGCATAAGAGACTTCTGTCATAAATATGAAAAATCGTAATTATTCCAAACATTAGAACCAGTGTATACATAGCACATTTATTTATTTATTTACGTACATACATACATACATTTGATTATGTTAGATCCTACATCAATTCTGCTGGGCCTTTGGGCCCCTAGAATTTTTTCTCACATTTTACGGCATTAACGCCGGCCCTAGAAGTTGCAGCACTAATGTGCTAACACACAGCTCGGTTGTGATATATTCCCTCCGGCTTTGCCTGAAGCATCTCCTCCAGTATCAATTAAAAGTGTTATCTTGCCATCTCTGTTTTCCTCAGATTTTTACAAATTCTTTTTTTACGACTGGCGCTGATGGCAATGATTTAATCCACAGTGTAGATTTTTGTACAACAAACACATGAATTCTCGTGTGACGATTTTGACTCAAATCAGAAATGTATCCAATCCAGGACCACATATGAAAGTAGAGCAAATCGGATTTGAAAGGATTTGTTCACACGACTCAGATTAGTGTCACATGTATACAAACATTCAGATATGGCCTATCTGCACCCTGCAGTTTAAAATAGCCAGTGACAAAAAAATCTGTTCTTCATCACCATAATCCCACAAAATAAATCAATAAGTAAATAAGCAAACGCATGATCAGATAAGCATTTTTCAGCAATATGAGGAATGAGAGAAGCAATAAGCACCTGTGAAATGGAGTGCGACTCGCTTCTCTGTGCCAGTTCATCTACAGTATTTATTTATTTCTTGGTAGAATAATTTGTTTGTGCGTTTTGTTCATGTCAACCCTTTATTCCAGCCATCTCATAATAAGCTTGAGTCAGGAACCTCTCATCATATGAAAGATGTATCCACTCTAAACTCTCGTGTTTTCATCTGCCTTGTCTAAAGGCCCCTCTCCAGAGCCAATTCTTAGCTCCATTTAACTCACTTCGTTGCTGGTGACTGATTCCAGTACACCTCATACACGGAGCTAATGGGCTGCTGGGATGCATCTGAATATTTATTACATCCCAACAGATGCTTGACTAGACAAATGCATTTTATCTTTATATATTAAACTTTTAATGATCTACCTATCAAAGATGAACTCGCAATAAGCATGAAAGGTTGCAAACTCAGCAAAAAAGTTGCAAAGGTTCTGGTACATGACTCGGTGACATATAGTATCCACAATAAAGAAAAGAAAAACTGTTTTAAAAATCTAGTTTAAAAATGGCAAGTTTTTAAAAATATGTAAATATATGTACATATATCTTTATTTGCATGTGACTTTGATTTGGTCATTCTTAAACATGAACAAGCAGTGAAGTAGCTTTATTTAAATATTTTGACAAAGAAATAAAAGATTGTCAAACAACTTAGGTTTTTCCTTTTTTATTGAAACGTCAGTCATAATGAACAAGTTGAGAAAGTAATGTCAATATATACAATTTGCAAAGGATTGTAACAGGGGAAAAGAAAAGACTAAGAAATAAATAAAAATAAAGAAATAAAGAAGAGAATAAAGTAGAGATTATAATTACGGGTTTCCATACACAAAAACATTACTGCATAAAGCTGTATAACTTTAAAGACTTTAACAAATCTTTTCTTTTGGCTTTACTATTTATACATAGTTTGACCATCTCATAATGACACTGTAGAGAAATATATCAGACATATAATCTCTATCAGGATAATCTCCATAATAATTAGGAAATTTATAATAAAATGTATAATTTAATAAATTTTTAATAAAAGTAACATTGACAGCTTTGTCGATGTTGAAAATAGAGTAGAAAATTTTTTTTTTCTCAAGGGAAAGATTAAAATCAGTTTTTCTACATAGAAGTTGAGAGACATCATTTTACTTTTTTCTTTCTACTTTAAAAAAAAAAACAAGATGAGAGTTCCAGTAAAGGTGCATTGGATATTGACTTAGGTAAAGACATTCTTAGAATTGGTGTGTTCAAGTCATTGTATGTCTGAATTTAATTTTAATGTATTTTTTAAAATAAATTAATAGTTAGGAATACAAATGAGTGTCGTGTCATTTGCCATGTGCTATTAACCAAAAACTCAAAGACCTATAAATGCGTCACAGTGGGAAACTAAAGGATGCGTGTGTGCGTGTGCATGAGAGTGTGGGAGATTAGTTGAAGGGCTAAACCCTCCACAGAAGAGTCATCAGTCTTTTAAGCACATCTGTCAGGGATTTCAGACATCGGAGAAAAGTATGAGTGTCTGTTTTGTGTCTTTGTGAATAGGATTGTAACCTTCACAGAGAGAACACGCAGCCCTGAAATGATTTACAAGTCTGCTCTGAGTGAGAGTGGGAAGGAGGAGAGGAAGGGTGAGACAGAATGACAAAGAGGCATAAAGGAAGAGGAAAGTCAGAGATTTCCAACTATTGATCCAGGTGGGAGTGTACAGAACCCCGAAAGCCCTCCAAATGAAGGATGTCCCACCACAGCCGACTGTATACCTGTAATGTGACCCACTAACCACATGTAATTAAGACAAAGGGACTGGTGCCAGAGGGGTGGGCTGACTGAATGAAAAGTGAGCGGTGGCTCAGGAGAGGCTGAATAGGGGGTCACAAACACAGCTGTGGAAAAAGGCTGGCGTGAGGAGCTCTGGCAGGCGGGAATCATGACCGAAGGGCTGATTTACAGGAAAACTTTCCGCTTCATTAATGCTGTGCTGTCAGAGAGCTTAAAAGGCCCGATATGTGACACAACGTTCCTCTCCATCTCACTCTGTTTCTCCTGTCTCGTTTTTTTCTGTTGTCGTTTTCGTTCTCTCTGGCTGTTTGCTTTTGACTCTCCGCAGTGTCTCCACAGAACAAATTAAAGAGGATTAGTGATGTAAATCTGTTAATGAATCTAATATTCAAATAACATTGTGTTACCCTTCTTGCAATCTCTCCTTCAGAACTTCCCTTCTCTTTTGTTTTACCAACACAGTTTTACACAAATCAAATAATCAAATTTAGCAGTTATTTTAGTATGATTGAGATACTATTATAGTTTTTATTAACATTTTGAATTAGTTTTTATTTTTGTATTTTAGTAATTTAGTTTTTGTAATTTTTATTTGTTTATTTTTTTTTATTTCAGTTTTAATTATTTTAGTATATGAAGAATGTAAATGAGAATGTTGTCTATTTTATTTCAGTTAACAATTATTTAAATTATATTTTATTATCATTTTTATTGTTACTATTGTATTCTAAACCATTTTGCCAATAATGTATAGCATTAGACATCAATGTGCAAATTGTTTGAAGAAGAAAAGGAGAAATATATGATCTGTTTAGTCAAAGACATAATTGACAGATTAATTAATTAATTGTTTGACCTCACTGAAATAGTGTTTGGATCACTCATCGATATTTCTTTCTTCCCCTCCAGGACAAATGACATAGGATGTACACTGCTGGTCATCTCTGTCTGTCTGTGCTGTCATCCTTTTTTGCACTGGCCTGGGCTGTGGAGCCACTGGGTCAGGCTGCCCCCTGCTCCTCTCTGGTGGCTGGGGTCTTATACGGCTCCTTCTCACTCAGGGACCTCTTTCCCAGGCCGTCCGCTCTGGCATCCGGATGCTCCTGGACTGTAGAGAACCCTGACCCCACCAAGTACTCGCTCTATTTCCGCTTCAATCGCCATGCCGGCGCCTGTTTAGCTTTTTCCCCACTGGTGCTGCCCCTGGACCACTACCTCTCGAACCAGACCTGTGGCCCCCCAGACCAGCCCACCTTCCCCTCGGACCCTGAAGCCGTCGAGCTTTGCATGGTCCCAGGACCCCACACGTTTCTGCAGTTCGATAAGAACTTTGTGCAGTTGTGCCTGACCACTCATCCCAACAAAGACGGAGACAACAGAGATGGGCTGTCCGAGGGCCAGGCCCCCTTGTCGGCGGAAACTCTGGACTTCCGGCTCGTAGAGGTTCTGCTCATTAATAATGAGAATTCAAGTCAGTTTACGTGTGGAGTCCTGTGCCGATGGTTCGAGGAGTGCTTGCACGTCGGCTCAGGCTGGGAAACCGAGAGCTGCAGTATCACCCAGTCGGGATGCGTGTGTCCCAACACGGTGCCTCCGGTCTCCCTACTGCCCACTGCTCCCCACAACCACTCTTTAGACCCCAGCGCGAGCGTGTTGCAATCCCCACCCGACGACTGTTGTGTCACACAGCTGCATTCAAAGAACGGCATCGCTATAGCACCCAGGGATGTCCGGCAAGGTAAGCCAGGCTTCTTTCAGACCAGCTGCTAGCTGTTTCATTTATAGCCTGCTTCATTAAAATCAATTAAGCTGCTTTACAAGCTACTTTGTTTGATTGGGTAACCATGGGCTCATTTTGGATCACAAGCAAAGTGTTTCACTTTCAGCTTGATTTGATTTGATTTGGAGAGCTCATTTTATATTTCAATTATTAGCCTCTAATTACAAAAGGGAAAGTAACTTTAAAGCACTTGGAACTGCCTCCAATCAGGATAAGTGTTTGTGATAAAATAGTAATCACTGACTCCCCTTGGCTGCACTATTTGGTCCTGCTGATATTGGGTGAGGAGGCTACACCTACAAACGTGTGCTACTTAATGTTATACACTGTGTCCTAACTGGGTGTGACCGATAATTCTAGTGACAAATAATTTGTCAGTAGAATATGGACTTTTTGGTGTTTATTATGCAAAGTTAGGTCTGGTCCTCAAATCTGATTGGCTGAGCAGCAATACAAGAGATGATATTTAGTACAGCACTTGGAACTGAATCAGTTCTCTTTGTCTGTATAATAATGCGGATTTCAGGGACTCTTTCTGTAAGATATATTGTTACGCCAGTAACAAATAACTTATGAATGACTCATTGACTCACTAAACCGATTTATTCAATACCCCTGATTCAATCAGAATGAGCTTTATTGCCAGGTATGTTTACACATACGAGGAATTTGTTTTCGTGACAGAAGCTTCCACAGTGTAACAGAATGACAGTGACAGAACAAAAACACAGATTATAAAAAAAATAAATAAAAAATAGAACAAGTAAATAAGGAATAAAAATATATAAATTGACAGTTGTATGTGCAGGTATATTACAATAGACAGTTTTTGTATGTACAGATACTGTATATTATGTGCAAATTTGAGGTGTAGACTGAGTATGAGTGTTAGATAAATAAGTGTATGAGTGTATAAATAGTGTGTGTTCCACAGTTATTGTCAAGTGTAACTGATTGCAGGGATATAACTAAAGACAGGACAAACTAACAAAAACATAAAAACAACTGCGGAGCACGCCACGGAGGCAGCCATCAGCGTCGGCGCCATCTTGGATCCGTTTGTGGGAGTAAACAATTCATTAATTCACTGAACCACTGATTCATTCAGAAATGAGCGAGTCATTGAATCACTGAAAAGATTTGTTCAAACCACTGATTACAAATAAACTTGAATTGAATTGAATTGAATTTTGCCTGCTTGTCGTCGCTGGTTAGGACAGAAACGAAAGCGTTAATGGAAGAAATTTATTGCTTGTCGATGTATCATGACGAGTGACCAGATTTAAATGGTCTGTATCTCAAATCTGTCACTTGTCACTTTTGCTGATGACATCTTGTGTTGTTGATTTGTGTCACATTAAGCGTCAGGTTTGTGGGTGAGTATAGAGGTAGAGGACAGTTTATGGGCCTTGTTGATACATTTTAAATATATGTATTGCCATTATTCAGGTCAACTTTCCCCTCTGGCCCCCGCTGTGCTTTTTAAAATTTGCCCCGACAGACAGGTGATCAGACTCATGTAGGTGATCAACACCATTGATAGACTTCATTGTCAAGCTGCCGCATATACTGTAGAAACATTCTGCGTGTGTTTCCAATTGAGAGAAATAGAGAATCAGAAAGTGTGTTATTGACGCCGAAAAAGAAGCAACTAGATGGGGAAAGTGAGAACGATAGGACGTGTATGTGTGCGTGCTTCAGTCGGGCTTTTCCTGGCTCGCTCTAGTGCCTCTCTGCTAAAGCCACACTGAGTTTTATCCTCCCTTGAGTCAGCATGCTGATTGGCTGTGCCAGACTGGAGGACACTGCCAATGTGCCTGCTACAGAGATGCATACTGCTCCTGTGCCCGCAAAGACTGCACATTAAACAGCCTTCTCCTCAAAGCTGACATCATTGACACCAGCCAGTTTCAAGCATGGAGAGTTCTTCTCTGGAAAGATGTTGACAGTATTTTTAGGTGTGTATTGGGATATTTTTTTACATAATTAGGCCACTCTGGAATAGAGGATATATAGCATCCCTGCACAGTCATTTCAAATGATTCAAAATCATAACAAATTATGCAGAACATCAGTGCATATAGGTTTCCTAACTACTATATAATGTAATAATCCAACTTATTTTGCAATGCAGAAGTAAGCTAGCTATTTTCTGTGAAAGTGCAAGACTTCATTAGCTCCTATAGGTAAATAATTAGAAGAATAACAAAGTGTAGGGAAATATTTGCACTACAAACCAGTGTGTTTATAATTATGACAATACATTAAAATAATATAATAAGGAATACCAGTTCACAATATCAAGCAGCATAACAAGCTGTTTTGTAGAGCCAAAATAACTGGAAGCGAATGACACTGGAAGCCTTGCACATTCAAGTTACAAATGGCTGAAACTGCTCTTTTGTTAAAAATAAGGTGAATGTAATAATTAGACCCACAAGGATGCTGCACAATTTTTCATGTTTTTTGTGAGGGTAAATCTGCTGAAATCTGTGGAATAGGTTTGAAAATAAAAAAGGTGCACTTTAGGTTTTCCCTCATTAAAGTTTTAAACGTAATTAGTTGATTTTTGTAAGAATATGATTAAGATACTGAAAGAAAATACTGAAAAAAAAATATATATATATTTTTACATGGAGTGGGTCTATTCATGGTGGCCATCACATGATTAAACGAATACTCATTTTATTGTGCCTTAGTAACCCATCTATTGTTGTCACAACACAAATGAAAATGACTAAGTGTGCCTTATACTGTAGTGTATACAATTTTCTTGTTAGTAACAGAACATTTCAGCCAAAAAAAAAATTTTGAAATCTGTTTCAAAATCCACTTGTTTTGTGTACAATTTTGTGAAAGACATTCATCTTCACATTCTGCAGGGCCTTCATCAGAGATCTGCAGGTGGTACATTTTCTACCATAATCCGCGTATGTTGAACTGCAAATAAATCTTTTTGTTTAGATGGGAGATGAACTCACCACAGATGAAGTTTGTTTCTGTGAACTGTCACCATCCCTTGGTGTGCAAATGATTTAATTACAGGCATGTTATCTGAAGGCTTAATTGGATTAATTATTTAATTGTCTTCAGGCCTAGGTATTTCTTGTTCATCTCTGGATCTCTGGATCAGAGACAATCACTATGCTCAAAGCCCATGTGAACATGGAACTTCTCGCTCCTCCGTGTGCCACAGCCTTGAGATGGGGTTTGTGAAGGTGGATAAAATCCACACACTGTTACAGCATATTTTCTTTTTTATGCTACTGTTGTAGCTAATAGAGGCTAATTGGTGTGATTGCATGTGTGTGATGTTGATCTAGTTTCCTGTAGACAAAAACATCAGCTTGCAGGCAGAAGAAGCCATATATGTTGATATAATCACTCTTTGATTACATCCAGTAAAGCTTTTTTTCTTTTTTTTTTCTCCCCATAAAGCACCTTGTGCATTGTGTGCATATATTTAGTGAATGCCAAATTTGACTTGACAAATTGCAGGAGTTAACAGAAACACACTGGCTTATACAGAGGCATTTGAAGGCTGAAGTTGATTGCAATGTCTGACAGCTCATAAGCTCTGCCGTTCTCAATGGTTTTAGTTTATAGCCTTTCTATTTGTCCAGAGTTTTCAACAAGGTACTTTAGGGGGTCTGTGGAGAAGATATATGAAGTTTCCTACCTTTTCTAACTTCTAATAACTTTACATCTCAGAATTACAACATTATTTCCCACTATGTGACTCTATATCTCACAATTCTATCTTTATTTCAAACAATGTGACTGTGTTTTACAATTGCTAATTTAAGCCACAATTGTCCTCTAATAGCAATAATAAAGTTCAAGTTTATCTCACAGTGGAACTTATTTTTGTGATTTTTTTTTTATCTCACAATGTAAGTTTTTATGGTACAAATGTGACATTATATCTCACAAATATATATATATATATATATATGTATGTATATATATATA